ATTTCATGGTTCCAGGTTCAAGATATTTCATGGTTCCAGGTTCAAGATATTTCATGGTTCCAGGTTCAAGATATTTTATGGTTTCTGGTTAAAGAAGACTTAGGACCCCATATTATTTTAAGAAAAAAGTCCCGGGAATCTAAAACTTAGGACTTTATTTTCAGTGACATTTTGTCCTGGGACTTCAGAAAAGTGGGAATTTTTTACCAAAATTTTTATTTCCAGGTTTTTTCCCTTTAACTTTCTTTTATAGATTTAGTAAAAAGTACCCCGGGGTTAATTCTGTTCGTGAATGAGTAAATGAGACAGACGTAAAAAAATAAATAAAAATGGGATTTTATAAAGTAAACACTGTACAATAAAAAAATATATGCTTGTTCCTAACTTTTAAAAGTACACTTGTTCAGGTTTCCTCCACGATTCGAATAATTTGTTTAATCTTTATTAATCTTTATTTGTTCTTTGAACTGTGATGTTCAGTTTACTTTGTGATGCGACGGCTCTGATAAGAATTCCTATAAAAAGGGGAATATAGTTTCTAGAATATATTCTCTAGAATTCTACAGAACAGCAATCATCATGAAAACCTTCGCAGCAATTCTTCTTCTCTCCCTTGTCTCTGCTATCAGGTAAAATATTGGGGGAAGAGATAGGGTTTGCATCAAGTAAAATATTGGGAGGGGGTGGGGGTTACAGGGACTTGAATCCTCCCCTTGGTGTCTGCTATTAGGTCAAATAGGAGGCGGGGGGGGGGGTACAAGGCTTTGTCCCTTTAAATCCACCCTTTGGTGTCTTTCATAGGGGGGAGGCAGGAGGGTACCGGGATTGTGTCCCATTGAATCCCTGATTCCTGATATCAAAGAATAAAGAAGCAAAAAAGGAAAACAATCAAACTTAAAATTAGCTTTAATTGCTATAATGTCAGTGCTGAAGTGAGCTGCGACGAATGCAAGGGATGGGTTGGAGCCCTCCAGGCTTATCTTTTGACTGATGAAGATCTTGAAGTCCAATGTCAACTTCTCACCGACACACTTTGCCCTGAAGCCGAGGACCCAGAGGGTTGTGCTGCTGGATTCCACAACTGGTGGGCACTCATTGGTCAGTATTATTTCAAATATTTCAAAGTTTTCCCTATTGTTTTTTTCATTAACAGTCCCTTTAAATTTGGTGAAAGACTGTTAAATTCCATACATTATAAAAGGAAAATTTTCTGCAATGTCAAAGCACTGAAACTTATGTTTAAATTTTATTTTCAAATTTTTTGCTTCTCAAAAATAAAATCGCTAATGATGTTCGAATTATTAAATGTGTGAATTATAACAGGTAAAGCCATGTACCCTGTGTTCCTCGAGCCCGCTGGTATCTGCATGGATCTGGGAGCCTGCTCCATGAAGTCCCTCGCTACAGGAACATGCGAGGAATGCACTGCAGGAGTTATGTCTATTGCTGGGATTGTCGGATCGGAGGAAAGTCTTGTTCAAATCATCGAATTCTTGAAGGTATATTTGCATTCGCTTCTTTAACACAGAGTTTATATTTTTTAGATTGAAATTAGTGTTATTGTTGTCAATTTTCATTTTTTCTAATACCAATCTTTCTAAACATATTAAATAATAAGAGAAATCCCCTTGTGGTGTTCAAAATCTAAACATTTACTTTAGATAATTTGATCCATCGAAATCTATGATAGAAATTACAGTAAGAATATAAAATGAATCTCAGCTCGCCTTATTGCCTAGGTTGTAATATTCTCTTCTAATTCTAAGTGAGCTGCGGAGTGTGAAGTATAAACAAAGTTTAGCAAATACTTATGTATATATTTAAAAAGTCACGTAACTTCCAAAAACATTACCAAATATGATTCATGTAAAGTTTCAACATATTTGAATCTCTTTTATAATTGCAGGGAGATGATTTCTGTGGAACTACCCCTGATGTTGAGACCTGTGGCACTATTATTGAGATGACTATGCCCTATGCTATGCCTGTTCTAGCAGAAGCTCTATCTGGGGCATCTCTTGATCTCTGCACCGATGTTGCTATGGCCTGTTAATTTTGTTAGAAGTCTTTTAAAATAAAAACCTTTACTCTTTTATGTTCGATGTTCAAAGTTAAAGAAAGTTTTCGTGAAAAATTAATGTTGGTATAAACTGATTCCGAATTAAATTTGATATCGATCGCTACTAATATTTCTTCTGTCACTTGCTTCTATAATTAGAGAAAACAACTATATAGTTTACTGTGGAATTTTAGCTAAATTTTTCGTCGTCGTTTTTTTTTTAAAACCGACTACCAAAAGCCCTAAAAATTAACAATTTATGAGGATTAGTTCAACTACCATACGTTGCCGGTCACTCCCTTTAAGTAAAAAAAATGTTATTCGTAATTATAGCTGCTAACTTTTACTTTTTTTTAAAGTCACCATGGTCACCATCGTAGGAATGGGATCTTATTTATATTTGATCCTGTCGGTATGATGAAAAAACAACGTAGGAGTGGGATCTTATTTATATTTGATCCTGTCGGTATGATGAAAAAAGCTTCATGATTAGATGAAAAGTCAATTTAATAAATGGAAAGAATTTTGAAACAATTGGTGTGTTTTATGTTCACTAAACGAATTTATATCATAACTTGGGTTTAACTGTCGTCTTCATATTCCACAGTTGTATGGGTTTCACTGTATTCATATTTCATTAGAAAGGGGTAAAGCCTGTAAAGAAAGGTCCCTTTACACACGATTCAATTATATGAATCAAAGATATTCTTTTTAACATATTACTTTAAATTCTTGAAAGTTTCAACTCTCTTAAAGGGACTCTAAGCGTAATTTCAAGTGGCCGACAATGCAAGGCGATACTTAGTTCACTACGGTACCCTTTAAAGCTTTGTCTGATCAACTGTGAATAAGATATAATTGTTTTTAAATTTTTTAACGTATAGCAATTATCAAATTTCGACCTAGAAAAACAACCATTTCTTCTACATTGTTTATGAGATAAATGTCTCGAAAGTACCATTGTCAATCATGCATTGCCATATTTGCATGGAGGGACACTTGAAATTACGCTTACAGTCCCTTTATAGAGGCCCCGTGGTCCGCCACAGTGAGGAAACGGAGAGAAGAATTATCTGAGTCCTCTTGGACCCACGGTCCAGGATCCACCAAACAGATTCAAAGAGAAGAAGAAAATAGAAACAGATCCATTGTAAGTATTAGGGTTGGGCACGTTACAACGTTTTCTGGCCGTTTTGTTAAAGAGAGTGACCGGCTATGTAAGGTAGTTGAACTGAGTATGCAGTGTTGTGGAAAACTTCTTTCGGATTCATTTGAGACATATTAAACTTTTAAAAATCTTTAAATCCTGAGTTTGAGCGCAAATTCGACGTTCAAAACTCGTACTTTGGGGTGGATACGTTTTCAGAATTAGTTTTTTTTAATTATTAATTAACGACAACGAAAAATAAAGTGAAAATTATATAGTAATCTAATTAGATGGTTAGGAACATATTTCTCAAAAGAAATTTGTCAATAAATCAATGCTAAATCGATTATTTCGTTTTCATTATTATATTGAATTTCTTATCTTCTTTGAATTTATTCAAAGATTTCTTCAAATTCTTCAAATGTCGTCTTTTCAATAATAATTCTAGAAAATCTGCGAAAATCTTTTTGAATAATGAGAAACCAGAATAATGAGAAAATAGAAACTAATAATTGAACAAGATTACTTATTTTCGATGATAAGATTAATTTTTATTTTCTCAACATATTCCTATACATGACGTCCGTAGTTTATTGAAAACTTTTTTTACATTTTATGTCGTCGTTATTCAATAATTTCAAAAAACTAATTCTGAAAACGTATCCACCCCCAAAGTAGGGGGTTTGAACGTCGAATTTGCGCTCAAAGTCTTACCAGATCTTTGAAAAGTTTATTATGTCTCCAATGAATCCTTCCTTCCTTACATAGCCGGTCACTCCCTTTAAAGGTAAAAACAGAACGTTTGTTTTGTCAACGGTATTTTCCGTTTTATTTTTAAGTTACCGTTTTCAGTGACCTCAATTTTATTAACGACGTTAATGGAAGATATTCTGACGTTATCGTTTGTTTTTTGCAATTAACTTTTCTTATTCGTTTTCAACCCTTGATTTTATTTTCAAAAACCGTTAATCCGTTTCCTTAATGATCTAATTAACTGTTTTTGCCGTTTGTTAACGAACGGAGTCTTCCGTTAATTTTCGAAATCCTCCGTATCGTTAAAGAAACTTTGCCAAGCCCTAGGTAAATTAAGATAATAAAGGTATTGATACCTGGCCGGCCCTAATATCAGAATTCCTAAATATGGGTTTTCTTTTATTTGTGATTTAAAATGATTGGAGATAAAAAGAAATTCACTAAGATTTCAACCCTCGTTCAGCCTTTTTTATGCAATGTATAATGTATACATATATATATATATACTGCATATTAAAGAGATATTTCTAATTGACTCACAATTATCATGTTTAGTCGGACACAAGTGTATATATATGTATATAGATTTTAGGTACTTTCCTATAATCATTTATGCAATGTATAATGTATATATATATATATATATTTATAAATATACTGCACATTAAAGAGATATTTCTAATTGACTCACAATTATCATGTTTAGTCGGACACAAGTGTATATATATATGTATATAGATTTTAGGTACTTTCCTAAAATCATTTTTCCAAATGGTAACTTCCCAAGGGTAGTTTCCCCATGCTTCCCAAATGTGTAATTTCCCCAGTGGCAACTTTGTTCAACCGTATTTTTAACTCTTTAAATGGACAGCTATCTTAAAACATGCTGACAGTTGAAGGGGGGAGGGGGGAGGGGGTCATCTTTTATTCTAATTTAAAATATGTTCAGTATAGCTCTGAAGGAGGTGAGATGGGCGAGATGTCAGTGTTCCATGAGTTCTATCTGTCAGCTGAAAACTTGAAAACATTCTTTGAGTTGCTCTCCGACGATAAAATAACAAAAGGAAAAGCTGTGTACAAGATTTTACACAAATAAATGTTAATTAATATGTCTAACAAAACAGACGGAATTGAAAATTATGAATGCGGATTAATTCAAACTCTACATTTAAATTACTGGTAGAGCGATAGGAGCAGGGGCTGAGACTCTAAATTATGTAAAATTTACCTAATTCTGTAAAATTTACTAAATTCTATAAAAAGAATTGAGTCTTTGCCACAACTTCAGATTTTCTAATCTCTTTGTCTTTGCATTCCTATCTCGTAGCCCTTAGATATTTCAAACAAAAAATTCTGTTAGATCTTAATAGTCTAAGTTTGAAATAGCACAGGTTTAAACCATAAGGTTGCAAAGATTTAGAGAAAATAAGAGAATTTGAGGTTGTGACAGAAACTCAGTTCCTTTACTATATTCTGTAAAATTCACTAAATTCTGTGAAAACTAAATTTTGTAAAAATTACTAAATTCTGTTAAATTTATACTAAATTCTGTAAAATTGATCAAATTCTGTAAAATTTACTATAATTTGTAAAATTTACTAAATTCTGTAATATTTACTAAATGCTTTATATTTACTAAATGCTGTAAAATTTACTAAATTCTGTAAAATCTACTAAATTCTGTAAAATTTACTAAATTCTGTAAAATTTACTAAATTCTGTAAAATTTATCATATTCTGTAAGATTTACTTATTTCTGTAAAATTTATTAAATTCTGTAAAATTTACTAAATTCTGTAAAATTTACTGAATTTGAACCACTTCCGAGGTTGAAGAACAAAATTAGTTTTGGGACCAAATTTAAATAATAGTAAGAAGTATTTGAACTAAGCAGATTAAGTCGAACCACTTCCTTAAATCAGAGGATAAGAGAATTGGTTCTATGTTAATCTGTGCGTAAACTGGTTATAAACAGTCTCATCAATTTTTAATACAGGGTCGACTTGAAGTGTCGCAACGCCAAGGGCTTAGATTGTACCACTCCAACTCACTTATCCTTTTCTGTAGCCCTTTACAAATATATTTTAGCACCATTTTGGTTAAGAAGTAATCAGGAAAATTCTCATCGATTTTTGCTTGAGAGCGTGAGACCTTTAAATCACAGTGCATTGCTACAAACTCTGTTTTTCTAATCCCTATATATCATTAGATCAAATAATCTAGGATTGAAATAAGGTTTAAATCAGTAGGTTACAAAATAAAGTGATTAGAAAATTTGAGTATGTGGCAAGACTCAATTCTTTTGATACCTGAACTCTTAGTTTTACTACTTTTCTGGCATTTATAAATTTCCATTTCTGATTGCAAAAATTTTAAATAATATATAAAACTGGTTTACTAAAATTTGTTTCCCATGTGGAGCTGGAAATTTTTTTACTGTGGATATCGAGATCAATGTTTAATCTCTTCTTTATGTTCTATTTGATGTACAAGAAAGTGTCTGAAATTCAACCAATTAAATTGTCATTTGAAGAAATCTAAAAGCCAATCAAAATCCGGGAAAATTTTCGCGCAACCATTAAGAGATCTCTCATTTGTCTGAACCCAAGCAGGGATATCCAAAAGAGTATTCTAAACAGAGAATCCAAACTGTCCAGCATGGATGTCGGGATCTTTATCTATATATTCGCAACAATAGTTTCCAGCTCAGTTTAAACATATATAAATTTTAAAACCAAATCTTGTTTACACTTTCATCCTCAAAGATGATGTCCAAAGAGAGTCTCAGAGAAACAGTTGGCTGTTTCTTCTCTTTCTCCTTCTTCTTATTGGCTGCAATATCTTCACCATGATGGTTCGTATCTACAGGAACTCCATCAGCCTCGGGAACATCAACTTGATCACTGTCATCAACTCCTACATCATCGAGACATACAACACTATTGTAACAGTTCAGGTCAGTTACAAGACACATGAGTAACATTATAGCAGTACAGGTTAGTAACAGTAACATAGCTAACATCATGGGTGAGTAGCAAGACAGGTGAGTTGCAAATGACATAAGTAACAGTATAGGTAAGTTACATGTGACATCTGTAACAGTCTATTCTGACAATTCTTTAACAGTTCTTGGAGTTTGAGCAACTGTAATATGATCATCTTGCAATTCAACAAAAGATCCGCAAAATATATTACAAAAAATCAAATTCATTTTTTCCACACACCAGCATTTCGATCAAACGTTTACCGTGCAGTTTCGCCATTCTTTGGTTGGGTGGGAATGTGAATTTCATGAAATAAATTGAACCAGCATCATATATCTATGCATAATTAGTTACAACCCAAAAATTGTCAAAATTAATGAGACACCCTGCATATCGGACAGTACCTTAATTAAAGACCCCTCATTAAAAAAATGCCCATTTGCAGTTCAAGAGAGTAGTAACGTCATTTCAAGTGAACCTCCAATCTCAATGCAAAGATGGCAATTCCCTTCATTGAAACCTTTCTTTAATCAATAGTGTGTAAGATATTGTTTTTTTTCGAGATTTGAAAATGTTTATTTCTAATTCTAATATGTTTTCCTCATGACCTGATAGCAATTATACTCTTAAAGAAAATAAGAATTTGGTGAACTCTCCTAATGACTGGATATTTGGGAAAATTCTCAATTAGCTAGACATCTATATGTAAATTTAGCTTTTCTGTCCGTCTGTTTGTTTGTTTGTATCCAATAAACGTCAAAACGGCTGAACCGATCGGGCCCAAATTTTGTGTGGGACCTCAATGGGCCCAGGAAAGGTTTATGAAAGATAAAAATTTCAAATTTTTGTCTCCAACAAAATTCGATTTTCAATTAATTTTTGAGCATTTAAAAAATCCAGGAAATTTTTTGTTAATCCGCGAACTTGTTTTTGTATTGTTTTACGATGTACACAAAGAGAACATGTTCACTATTAAAATAGAAGATGAGCGTGAAGCGCCCTTTAAGGCTAGTTTGAGAAATTTTTATATAAATGAAAATTACTATCCTCAGATTCTCCAAGAAAATTGAAGAATTTCCAGATTTACGGGAATTTGGGAAATTACCCATTGAGATTTTGGAAATTACCTACGTGAGTGGATATATTTGTCTGGGTCATTTGAAATTTTCCTTACAGTCCCTTTAATAACGTTTGTTTATAAAGCATCATATGTATTTAGTTCGGAAATTTCTCAGAAATAATCTCATTCTTAATTACTCGGTCCTCGGAATAGATAAAAACCTTTCTCTCTAATCTGCAGTTAAAATATTATTATAAAAAATTTCTTCATAAACTTTTATTGTTCCCTTTTCTGTATAGAGAGTTTATATTAACTAGAAAAAAAACTTGATGATTTTGAGTTTTAAAAATGCATTTCGATCTATTGCAAATTTTTTCAAATCTTGAGGATGTAATGGTGATACTGAACCTGTTACTATTGACCAATGTACAGGTTTAAGATCAAGATTATTTCATAATCCGTTCGGGATTTATTATCCTGTGATAATCAGAAAACTGTATGAATAGGAAGACGACATTATAGCAATACTGAACTGCAATTAATGTTGTAACAAAGCAAATAGATTTACTATAGCATGTTACTAAATCACTTATTAAGTGAAATGGTTTGGTTTACACTCTACGATTACTGTGCCTCATATCCATAGGACTATTTAAAGTCATAGTTTGAGTCTACTTCCTATTTCAGAGTTTTCTGGTTATCACTGTATCCAAAAGTTTAAATATAATCTTTAGATGTTTATATTTAAAGATATTCATGTCCAAATAAACTTTCATGTATATATACTCAGTGCCTGGTTTGTATGTGGGTCACAATATTCTCCCATATCCCGTACACCTGGGGATATATGATAAGCATGATTCCCACATACCTCGGAGGTCTTTTAGTGTTCCTCAACATTGCGTTAGCCATCATTCGCCTCCTTCTTGTTATTCAGGTACTGGAGATCTTTAATTTTCAGAGGGTGCGCGAATACCCCCCTCCCCTGCCTTAGAAATAAGTAAAATTTCTCTTTCTATAAAATCCCTCCAATGAAGTTATTTATATGGACTTTAGATGTTTGCCCCTTGTTCACATATTGACCTATTTAGCCTAATTTTTTTGCATTCTTCAAATGTGCTGGGTCGATTGCATTTTTGGTATAATTACGTTAGAACAGAAATTCCTTGAACTGGTTCGGATTATGCAACAATTGGATTGGGGTGTGTTAATCCTATCCTTGCAGATATACTTGAAAACCAGGATTCGATGGGGTTTGACCCCGTTCCCCCCCCCCCCTCTATATACGTATTTTAACAGATAAATGTGACAAATTGTACATTTTGGAAAGTTAAATTTTGACTTTTGGGATTTATCTTGAACTATATATTTTGCATTTCTGTCATTTTTTATTGGCTCTTTAGCAAAAGCAAGAGAAATTTTTCTCCAAATAATGATTTGACCAAGAGTTTTTGCATTTTGCAGTGTTTTTGAACAAGTTTTAGATTTTTCTTTTATTTCAAATGTCGATTAAGTATAGGTCGATTAAAAGACAAGTTATTTTTTCTTTCTTTTTTCTAAGTATTAATTTTCAAGAATGATAAAACTTTTTTTTATTAAGTTTGATGAAATGCTTACATTTGATCCTGAACAAACAGGATTCAGGATACTAGCTGCAGGACTGCTTCTCAGCATACCTCCTTTCTTGGTTCCCTTCTGGATCCAAACTCGACAGGGTACAAATATTAGGCTTTCTAATTTTTAAATATCTTTTTTGTACAATCGTCGTCGTATATACCAATACAATAAAGACGGGTTTAGATTTCAATTTTGATTTCTGTCAAGGTTTTAAACAGCATGGATAAAGTTTTAAACATGATCGAAAGCAAAGTTATCAATTTATAGATTGTAATTTGAAAAAAGTTTGTTAGAAATTAAAATTTAAAAAGAGAAATCGTCTTCATTGTATTAATATAAACGCCGAATGAACACTGTACTTAAGGCTCAATCTAATGCTATGATTGATCGAGGTCATCTTAGCATGGCAATTCAAATATATTATCAGAAGTCCGAAAAATTGTTTGGACCTTAAATATTGGGGTTTTTATTGACTACCAGAGGCCTAAAACTTAAATTCATAAGAGTTGAAAGATGTTAGGGTAAAAAAAATTATTTTACCTGTGTACACCTAAATATTCGTTTCTAATCTTTACCAATTTTTGTTGTCATATATGATGATATAAAGGGGCCTTTAAGCATGGGAATACAGCCCCTCAATAGTTTTTTTCTGAAGCACCCTTTACTTTGAAATATATTCTCTTGAAACTACTTGAATTTTAAGAAAATAAAATCAAAAGTAAATTTTTCATTTCGGGTAGTCTAAATATACCGGTAGAGGTAAAGTATAATAATTCAGTTACCTGACAATAGACACATGCATATATTTTTTTACCTGTCTGGTGAACTTTGTGTAATTCTTTAACCTCCCTTGCATTCTTCCTATTTAAGTTGAGAAGTCAATATTTTATCATGATTTTCCCTTGAAAAATTTGAGGGAATTGAAGCTATAATAATAACTTCAGCAGTAAATGGACTCATCACAACAAACTAAGCTATATAGTGGGGTAGGTCAATTAGGCCTATATGTTAGAGTGGGTACTGTAAAAATTCTGGCCGCGCCATCAAAGTTTAAACCTAGACGGCATAGGATAGGGGCTGGCTGGTACAGTAGTACATGCCGTGCGTCGCTAAGGACCCTACAAGGGGTCGGTCTGGTTCGAATTCAAATTGACCCTAGTCCATCGTGTCTTGAAGATATTGACAGTTTATTATGTTATAGGATTTGTGTCTCTCCAGGTGTCCTACTACACTGGACTTAATCCTTCTGATTCCACCAACCTCCATCCGACCATCTTTGGTCTTCTACTTCTCATCGCTGGTCTTGTCATGATATCCGTCTTCTGCTTTAACAAGATCTATTTGAGAAACAAAGCTGTTCCTCTAGTAGGAGAGAACATATCACGAAAGAATATTGTTGGATTTAAAACATTGATTGGAAGTGTATTCTTCATGACATCAGTAGTTCTAATGTTTACTCTCATACAGTTTACCCGATCCAAATCTTCAAGGGCAGCAACATTTCCGCTCGGACCGTTTTTGTCCACACTTGCGCTTACTTCTGTAAATTGTTATTTTGCCATGAAATCATATGTAAGAGAGTATTCAGCTCTGCAGATCAGAAAGCTTAAGTATACCTACTTCTTCAGTAATTAAAAGTATTAACGACATGTAACATCTTGGAACTATAGGCTGGGCAGACTTCTGTTGATGAAATGGAGATTTTCAAAAATCAATGGAAGAGTCCGTTAACGAACGGCAAAAATCTTTAACAAAACGGATTTGCCATTTTGGAAAAAAGTTAACGTTTGAATGCGAAAATAAAAAAGATGGGGTTCAACAAAATTTATATATTTAATTTTTTAATGTCGTCTTCATCCCCCCCCCCCCCCCCTATTTATAAGATGGAACTTTTAAAGATTGTTTTGCAATTTGGTGACAGATTGTGCCGTACATCCAATTTGATAAACTGTTAACGATTTTTTACTGAGATTTTGGAGTTAATTTCTGAACTGTTTATGCCGTTAATTGCAAAACAACCTTTAACAGCAGAATATCTTCAGAATAACAAAACAGCTAGAAAAGGTTAGAACGTGCCCAGCCCTAATAGGAGCTACACATTTTGTTCTCTATTTGAAAGAAATGACTTTCATAATAAAAATATTTTAATATGACATACATACAAAATAAATATTCTTGCTGTAAAAGCTAAAAATTCACATAATTAGATAAAAACTATATTGAAAAGATGTAATTGTTAAATATTCCTCCTAATATTACACCTAGTTGATCAAATAACTTCATTTTGTTTTTATAATCTGATTTATTGACTATTTCACAGTTTTGTTTTGCTTTACTCAGACTATCAGAAAGGTAACAGACTAATTGGTTCTTGCTTAGTGGCCATAGGCAGCCTTGGCATTAAGATGTTCAGCACGGGCAGCTTGGACTGCAGGCTCGTCAACAGGAACAACAGCTCCGTTGGGATGAGCTACTAGACCATAGAAGCTCTGCTCATAACCATAAGGAATAGCATGGGCACCAGTAGGCTCTCCTTTGTAAACTTCTCCATAAGCAGCCAGATGTTCAGCACGTGCAGCTTGAACAGCAGGTTCATCAGCAGGGGTGACAGCCCCATTGGGATGAGCAACAAGGGTCGGAATATGGATGGGTCCGTTGTAGCTATTGTAGGCAACTTCAGAGTGTGATAATCCATTGTAAACGTCTTTGTGCAGACCACTCTCAACTCCCTTGCTACTAAGATGATCAGCACGGGCAGCTTGTACTGCAGGCTCATCAACGGGAACAACAGCTCCGTTTGGATGAGCTACCAGACCATAGAAGCTCTGCTCATATCCATAAGAACCTTCATGAGAACCTCCATGAGCAGCCAAATGCTCGGTTTTGGCAGCAGCAACACGAGGCTCATCAAGAGGAGTTACAGCACCATTGGGATGAGTCTGGAGACCATAGAACCCTTGGGGCATGGAAGTAGTTGTGGCAACACAGGCAGCAATAACCTTAGCAGAATATTATTCATAAAAAGATACAAAAGAACATCATATTTTCGTTACCCAGCTTAAATTGGATATTCATACAATAAACTTTTCATTTTTTTACAACCTTTCATTGGTTGAGATCCAAAAATATATCAGGACTTCTGATTGGTTAACGTAAATTGTTAATGGACCTTTCAACGGTTGAAAAGACTTTATGTTTAATAGACAAAAATGATTATGTAAAGATTGAGAAGAATGTGTATGTGTATGTTAATTGACTTTGATATTGTAATTCATTGAATGTCTTTTCTAAATTTCCAAAGTTATCAGTGTCGTTTTAGAAATCCCTAGTTGATGTGAAAAAAAAGATCAATGGAAACCAAAGTATTAGGGATTCTTGTAAAAAAATTGTTAATTATGGTTTTAATATTTGTTATCAGTGTGAATATGTGATGTATGTAATTTAAGACACTAAATAAAAACCCCAGCACATTTATAAATAAGACTGAAGGACAAAATTATTAGAGTGAGATTAATAATTGTCGTTTTTTTATTTTTAAGCAATAACTAACCTTGTCAACCATTAACATTAAGACCCCCCCCCCCCCTCCATGTAATGTCGTCTTCAACCTAAAAGCTCCTCTCGGAGACGAGAAACCAAACCAAACAATTTCAGCCCGCTTCTCTTTGTTCTCCGACAACGGAATATAAACACTTTTATTAATTGTGAACCACTTCAAAGTTAAGCAAAGAATATTTTCATATAAAGAATTAGTGACTTTCCTTAACATTTAATTGTCACTCTTTTCAGAAGTTTTAATGTATAAAAAAGCGTCTTAGGACTCCCCGACAGTTTAACCCACAAATACTCAAATAGATCGTAAGAATCTTTTCATTATAAATTCGTAAACCATTGTAATAATTATTTATCATTATTCATTTCATTTTTTTTTTAGGAAATAAAGAGTTTTCTGCATTATCGATTATGATTTGAGGGTTATTCCGTTGTCTATCTGTTCATCGTCAGAATATTGTTCCTATCCGACAACAAACCTTTGTGCTTAGTGGAGACGAAAAGATATTTTAAATTTTGAATTTTTTGGAAGCAAAAACAATAACTTTTGCTCAATTTTGTTCAAGAGAATTTAGAGTTGCAAGAAATTTATTTTGAAGCGAAGTTTATGAACGTCTTAAATGTGTTAAAATGTGTTACAATGTGTTACAATGTGTTACAAATAGTTTCTTACATGAGGCCAAATTGTCTTAAGTTAAAAAACGATCTTTCCCAAAAGTGGTATAATAATTAAAAGGGTAAACAGTAAACACTTCAAATTTTTTAAATAATAAAAGAGGGAGTTTTAGAAAAATAAAAATTCTAAAATTGTCAAAAAATCAAAGACTGTCCATCCCTTGGCGTAATATAAAAAGAACTTAAATCAATGGCAACGATGATGTCATTTCTTACTTTCTAATTACAATACAATTGTCAACTTACTTATTCTCCGAAATACTGATTTAAAAGAGAAATTACATGATATGTTGGAGACAAGTTTATTCTTATTGCTCTTTAAATCTGAGATTCACTTTACGCTGACAGACTAAGCTTACCAAAAACTTCATGTTGATGCTAGAGTGCTAAAGCAAAACTGAATAAAAGGATTGAACTTATGGTTTATATATCAGGATGTGCACTTATACCCTCTATACTGTATAGGTCACAAACCTTAGAGTAAATATTTGAGAATCTAACAAAAACTTTTACTTTATTTCATTTTTAAATGTTTCTAAAATTATTCTCAAATCATAATTTTAATGATCGAAATAGGCGCATTATTTATTTACCGTATTTTTTTGTATATGTATATAAATATATCTAGATATTATATATATACAAATATTGTATAGGTCATTTTTACTGTTTCAGCTGACATTCAGGTTTAAGAGAAAGGTTGACCAGAATAATAAAAATTTAAAGTTCAGCTTTGGGCATTTTAAGAGACAGAGTGGTTTTTAATAATTGGATAACTAACTTTTGTATTATTTTAGGAGATCAGCATGTTTTCAAAATATCAAAAATAAAAATAGTTTGAAAAGATTATTTTCTGAGAAATATGCGCCAATAAATACCAATCGTTTAAAATGCATTAAATTTACTGATATTTAAAACAAGAAAATGCACACAAGCTTAGTTTTGAGACAAAGAAAAATTTAAATGACAATAAAATTTTAAAAGAACAAAGACAAAATACTAATTGTCATGCTATTAAGGTAAAGGATTGAAGTTGTCATACTATAAATGTCAAAAATTAAATTTTGACCTTTCGTCACTTAAACCCTATAGTATAAACAAGATAATAATAAAGTTGAGCATCCTACTCTAAAAAACGCATGATCCTAGCCGGTACAACATGTACTGCATATGCATTCACTGGTACAGGGTACTGTCCAGTCTGAAATACCAAGATTGGAGTCGACCTAGCACGTTTTATGCAACAAATATAGCCTAGCAAGATCCAATGTCTCTATTATTATTACCTGATCAAAATATTTATAGGATTATGCCATCACAGGATATTGAAAAGAATTAATTTAATCCGTAGGTCTGCATACGATGGACGAACAACTTTGATCGTTCAGAGAAATGAAAAAACTATTGTTTTTTTTTAAACAAAAGAAAAAACTAAAAATGAACGATATAAATCGTTTGAACTAACTTAAAATACGAACGAACTTTTCAAAAGATTTCGACAAAAACGATCTTTTTTTTAATGAACGAATGTTTTTTTGGAGAACATTTTTTTGATTGATTTTTTACTTTTTCAATAAACTTTTGAAAATTGTACTAAACGAACGATTTTACTGAACGAACGTTCACTGAGAGAGAAAATTAACGAAATAGATTGAAAATTAATTATATTTTGAGAACAAGCGAAATCAAATCTTTTTTGGACGATTCAATAAAATACAAACAAATTTGGTTGTACCATTATAACATATCCCTTTTTATAGTCATGAGTAGTCTCCTGAAGACGATTATTAGTCCTCCGTCTTCTCTATATTTCCCCACCCCCTTCCCTTAATATAATCCTACTTCACGTGGATATAACGGTTCTGTCAATATTCCAGAAATCTGTGACTTTCGATAACAATTTGACCAATTAAACACAATTTTTTAGACTTTTTTCTTAAATACTTTTTTGTCGGCATATGCATTTTGAATGAAAAAGTACAGAAAAAACAAATCCGTAAGGTAAACGATTGTTGAATTATAGACCAAAACACGTTTGATTTCAAACAGAAGAAACCGAATGCTGCTCACTCTGGTTAGTCCGGGTGACTACTAAGTCCGGTACAATGGGGTCAGTTCGGATGGAATTCAAATTGACCTTAGTCCACCATGAGACCTCCTCAAATGATCTTAATCGTTCATGAACGATTTTATTCGTTTTTTTACTACGATTTTCGAACACACTTTTTCAAAACTATAGTTGCTTCTACAAAACTAACAATTTTTTCAAAAAAAAACTTTTGTAAAAACCATAGTTTTTTTAACAAACAATTTTTTTGAACAAACGATTTTTCCTAACGAACAATTTAACTGAAATAACGATTTTACCGATCGTTTATTGAGAAAAATAACAAAATGGATGGAAAATGAATGATAATTTTGAGTTCGAGTCTCTAGTTAGACTTGGTCCTAGTGGGGAGTCGATTTATATCCATATAAATGCAAAGGTATTTCATTAACGGTCGTTAACGATGTAACGTCATCAACAATCATTCACGAAGGTGTGTTGTTCATGGTCGTTTTTTATTGTTATTTCTGAAATTTTTCCCTTAACACCGTTATAAAAATTGAGATCAATAACGAATGTTAACTTTAAGAAAGAACGAAAACATTAACAAACTGCTACCTAAAAACTTGGTCCATTCTGTTATTTTAAGAGAAAATCTGTAGTCACTTTATTTTCTGGGAAACATTCTGGGTACATTTATACAATACATACATGTTTCAGACCAGCTTCTGTTCAGTTGTTCAGATTTATTAAAATAAATTATTTAGGATTGCTCCTCTTCAGTCCATAAACATCGTTACAATGCTGGATTATATAAATAAATAAAAATATTTTTCTGAACTCATGTCAATAATTTACCATGTCAATCTTATCAATGTCCTCCTGAACCTATTTTCGGAGGGTAGCATTTGAAACATCATGATAAGGTCCTAATGAAAATTTGGACTGCGAACATGAATCACCCTCTCCTTACAGGAAAAAAAAAACAGAAAAGTGGGAACCCCACCCCATCCCAGACCCCATCGTTATTGGATTTTAGCCATTCTAAATAATTAAAAATTTTGAAACATTTTCAAATTTAAAATAATTTTTCTCAAAAATATTATGATGTGGTAAATATTAAAGGTAAACTGCCTTAAAACTCTAACTAACTAAAATATATCTTAAATTTTCTTTATTGACTATTGCAGTTGCACAGTTTTGTTTTGCTTAACTCAGACTAGCATTATATAATAATATATATATAGTGGTAACAGACTAATTGGTTCTTGCTTAGTGGCCATAGGCAGCCTTGGCATTGAGATGTTCAGCACGAGCAGCTTGTACTGCTGGCTCATCAACGGGAACAACAGCTCCATTGGGGTGAGCTACCAGACCATAGAAGCTCTGCTCATATTCATAGGGAGCAGCATAGACCCCAGCAGATGCTCCATAAACTCCTCCATAAACTCCCTTGGCATTAAGGTGTTCAGCACGGGCAGCTTGGACTGCAGGCTCATCAACGGGAACAACAGCTCCATTTGGGTGAGCTACCAGACCATAGAAACTCTGCTCATATCCATAGGGAGCAGCATAGACCCCAGCAGATGCTCCATAGACTCCTCCGTAAACTCCTCCATAAGCAGCCAGATGGTCAGCACGTGCAGCTTGAACAGCAGGTTCATCAGCAGGGGTGACAGCACCATTGGGATGAGCAACAAGGGTGGGGATATGGATGGGTCCGTTGTAGCTATTGTAGGCAATGGTAGGAACAACTGTGCTGGCATAGGCTGTATTCACTGCTGGGTAACTATGGGGGTGTGCTGCATATCCTTCATCAGCGTAAACTCCATACTTGGTGGCAAGATGCTCAGCTTTGGCAGCAGCAACACGAGGCTCATCAAGAGGAGTTACAGCACCATTGGGATGAGTCTGGAGACCATAGAACCCTTGGGCAGTCGTTGAGGCAATACAGACAGCAAGAACCTAAGTAAAGACATAATTATGATTCAAGCGATTCTTTTTTATGTTTTGATTGTAAAGATTGCAGTTAGAAGAATCCACATTTTATGGTTTGGGGGATCAACCATTCAGAAGATCAATAATTTCTGGTTTATGATCAACTAATTATGGTTTGAGGATCAATTGTTTATGGTTTGGAGGATGTATTATTTCTGGTTTAGAGGATCAATTATTTTTGGTGTAGAGTAGAGGATCAACTGCATTTGGTTTGGAGGATTAACTAACATTAAGGATCAATTGTTAATCATTCAGAAGATCAATCATTTCTGGTTTAGGATTAATTATTTCTGGTTTGGAGGTTCAACTATTTATGATTCAGAGAATTAATTCATTTTGGGTTGAAAGGTTAATTATTTCTGGCTAGGAGGATCATATATATATGGTTTGGAGGATCATCTATATATGGTTTGGAGGATCATCTATATATGGTTTGAAGGATCAACTGTTTGGTTTAGAAGATCAATTATTTTTGGTTCAGAGGATAAAGCACATGTTTTATAAGATCAATTAAGATCAGATTTATTTCAGCTAATTGGTTGACAATTTTACCATTTAAGTTTGTATCGATGGTAGTACCCATAAACAAACCACTATAAAGTAAAAATTTTATTTTCACATGTTTTATAATTGCTGTCTTGATTGTATCTTCTCAGATCTGTTGATCGAAATCAGTAAAACATATACCATAACAAAATTTAAAAAGTCATACCATACTTTATGAATAGAAAATTTTCAATAGTTTGCCTTTTTCTTTAATGTAAAAGTAATTTGAACAAAAAGAAGAATATTTGTCTGAACTCGACACAGTTTAGAAAAGACTGATTTATATTTGTATATAAATTTAGCTTGGCTGTCTGTCTGTCTGTTTGTTTGTTTGTATCCAATAAACGTCAAAACGGCTGAACCGATCGGGCCCAAATTTTTTGTGGGACATCACGTGACCACAGGGAAGGTTTATGAATGATAAAAATTAAAAAAAATGTGTTTTAAAGGTTTTAGATTTTGTAAAAAAAATTAAATTCTTGAAAATCCGCGAATCTTTTTTAAAAGTCCGCAAAATTTTTTTCTTCTTTGGTTTAAAATGTAAACAAAAAGAACATGTTCACAATTTAAAAAGAAGATGGGCGCGAAGCGCCTTAAAAGCCTAGTATTTAAAAAAACAATTTGGTATGGTTAGCTAATCTTACCAAAAACTTCATGTTGATGCTAGAGTGCTAAAGTAAAACTGAATAAAAGGGTTGAACTCAGGGTTTATATATCATGAGGTGCACCTATACCCTCTATAGGTCACAAACCTTAGAGTATTGAGAAAATGTTAACTGCGAAGAGATACAAAAGCATTGGGGTTTGTGAATCCTCTCACTAATTTAATGAATTAGGCTTTTTCTAAATTACGAGTATTCTTCTTTTTTTATTGTTAAAATCGCAACATTTTTGTTTTGATTGGCCATAAAAGTTCCCCGGCTTGACTTTTATTGGATATAACATGAACTAGCCAAATATCTATATCTATATATAAATTTGGCTTGTCTGTTTGGGTGTCTGTTTGTTTGTTTGTATCCAATAAACGTCAAAACGGCTGAACCGATCGGGCCCAAATTTTTTGTGGGACATGACGTGACCACAGGGAAGGTTTATGAATGATCTAAATTTCAAATATTTGTCTCCATCAAAATTCGATCTTCATTAAATTTTTTAATTTTTTGTGGGACATCACGTGACCACAGGGAAGGTTTATGAATGATCAAAATTTCAAATATTTGTCTCCATCAAAATTCGATCTTCATTAAATTTTTGAAAATTTTGAAAATCCACGAAATTTTTTGTGAAAATCCGCGAATTATTTTTGTTTTGTTTTACGATGTACACAAAGAGAACATGTTCACAATTAATTTAGAAGATGGGCACGAAGCGCCCTCTAAGGCTAGTATTAATATATTACATGCATAAATATATGATATATGATACCTTTAGTTGCTCAAATTATCTAAATGTATGTAATATACGTACTGTGTTGGTCAATCTCTAAGCTATTTCTGTGTATATACTAAATATACTGGTTTCAGAAAAAGGTTAACTTTACAAATAAAAATTCTGATTTCAGCCAAAGGCAGTTTAGCAATATATATATATTTAACCCTAAAAGCCAAAAATTCAAGCAGTTCTAGGCAAAATTGGTCTTAGGAACCCTCCCTTGGTAAAATTCCCTTAAAGGGAGTGACCGGCTATGTAAGGTAGTTGAACTGAGTATGCAGTGTTGCGGAAAACTTCTTCCGGATTCATTTGAGACATAATAAACTTTTTAAAGATCTGTAAATCCTGAGTTTGATCGCAAGTTCGACGTTCAAAACTTCTACTTTGAGGGGTGGATACGTTTTCAGAATTAGTTTTTCTTAAATTAATTTTATTTTCTTAAGTTATTGTCCCCAGGGCGTCTATATTACCAGGTTGGTTTCCCCAGATATTTATTTTCTAAAGTTATGGTCCCTAGGGCGTCTATATTTATCAGGTTGGTTTCTCTTGAGATTTATATTCTTAAGTTATGGTCCCCAGGGCGTCTGTATTTATCAGGTTGGTTTCCCTTGAGATTTATATTCTTAAGTTATGGTCCCCAGGGCGTCTATATTTATCAGGTTGGTTTCCCTTGAGATTTATATTCTTAGATTTTGGTCCCCAGGGCGTCTGTATTTATCAGATTGGTTTCCCGGGAGATTTATTTTCTCAAGTTATAGTCCCCAGGGCGTCTGTATTTATCAGGTTGGTTTCCCCGGAGATTTATTTTTTCAAGTTATGGTCCCCAGGGCGTCTGTATTTATCAGGTTGGTTTCCCCACCTTCCACTACTAATCCATATATCACAATTCACACAAAATTGTTGATTTAAAACCTAAAAACAATAAATCGTGGAAATATTTAATTGTGAACAATGTTTAAATTTTTTAAAGGTTCTTACTTTTTTCTGGTAGAAGCAGAAAAGGAGGGGTCTAGTGATCAGAATAAAACGATTATTACTTCTGAAAAATAAAATATCCGTTTGGTTACAAAGATTTGTTGTTTACAGCAATAGTCACGGATTTTAAGCATTTACTGTATAACACGTGTTTCACTTTTCACGATTTGTTTCTATTTACCGGAGAAAAGGTTGGGTTTGGTTCCGGAGTATGATTTGATTTAAGACGACATTTTACGGAGAAAGATTAATGGGTTTATGGTCTACACATGTGTATTTAGATCAACTCTAGTAGGTCCAACACTAATATTTTGTATCGTTATAATGTAAAATATATATGCAACCATGCTTTGGTATTCCACTCAATCTTGGCTTTTGAACACTGAATTCTTTTCAAGTCTATATACAATAGCAAAAAATTATTATACAAACCTCTTCCTCAAATATTTTAGTTATAAAATCAACTTTTAGATTGTTGTGTCTAATTAATTAAAGGTCGTCATAAAAGTCTCATCTTTGGTGGGAACCCTGTAGTAGTTGACCCTGTAGTTAAGAAAATATTCGATTTTTCTGATATAAGTGAGTCAGTGTCCTGATTAAACCATTTTCAACCCACTAGCAATCAGTTAGGTCCCACTAGCAATCAGTTAGTTCCGAATAGAAATTAGATAGTTCCCACTAGAAATTAGATAGTTCCCACTAGAAATTAGATAGTTCCCACCAGAAATCAGTTAGTTCCCACTAGCAATCAGTTAGTTCCCACTAAAAATTAGTTGTATAGTTCACACTAGTTCCCACTAGAAACTGTCAAGTTCCCACTAGAAACTGTCAAGTTCCCACTAGAAAATGTTAAGTTCCCACTAGAAATTAGTTAGTTCCCACTAGTTTCCAAAAGCTCCCACTAGAAATAAGTTAGTTCCTACTAGTTCCCAACAGACATTAGTAAGTTCCTACGATTTTTCAATGGGCTTTGTATTTTCAATTTTTAGATATGAAAGGACTCCTACGCAGTTTTTGACTGATTTTGAATGAAAAATCTAAATATTATCAGAAATATTACGACACAGACAGGATGTACTTTGTTGTATAGATAGTTTTACATGTATGAGGTGCATGGAGGAAAGGTTTGCTTCAAGTCCATCAGTGTAATACATTATACGGTAGAAAATTGGTTTATTCTTGTTATATATACAATACATCTTTTCAAAGATAATTTTGTTCGGCCGTAATTGATATTATTATATGTCAAATCATGTTTTAATACCAAGGAGGGGGGGAGGGAGGCAGTGGCTAAGAGGGGCGGGGAAGGGTGATAAATAATGAATATGCATCCAACTGGTTTCTGTTTTCAGTGTGCGAAATAAGTGCAACACATTTTTTCAAGCAATCATGGCTCTGACCTTTCTTCAACTAAACAGAGTGTATTCAATGTTATGGGGGACGGTATCTTATATATATATAAAGTTGTAATCTCTATTTGTCTGTCCGTTCGTTTGTCCGATCATAACTCAGGAACCCCAGGATCGATTTGAGTCAAATTTTCTACAGGGAACTCTTTAATAGCCAAAAAAAAGTTTTCTGGTAAAATCGTTCAAGTGCGGGTAAACGGCGGGAGTTACTTTTAGTTACCTTGGCAGAGCTGGGTTCCCAAGATAGTTAACTATAAAGGTGCAACTAATTAGCCGCACTATGCTATAATGAAACCATCACACTTTGTTTGTTAACTCAAACTTGACAAAATTGCCTTTAGAAATTAGGAATATTTTGTGCGATGTGACAAACAAATATTAACAATATAAAAGTTTGTCAGATATTCTGAACACTTCGAATATTATTTTTGTAATTTTGTTTAAAATATGTTTATGATTTATAAAATGGCTGCAAAAAAGTTCAATTTAGTTTTCTCATAAACCTTTTAAGATATTTTGCAAAAATCTACAAAAATGCGTAGTCAGAAATGATTTTTATATTCCTGGAGTAAAATCTATTAAAATTGGACTGCTTCCTCCTCACAGTTTTCCTAAAATATGGTATGAAAATAAACGACACTTTTAAAAGCTTTCAAATATCAATCTTATAATCTTATTTCGAATTTTAAACAGAATTTAATTGAAGATTATTATCAGCGGAACAAATGTATAAATTCTAACACAAAGCAAAGACGATTTTACAAAGAAAAGACTAAAGAATTAAAAAGAGTATAAGATATAATCAAACATAAAAGAAGTTAAAAATATTTTCTCCATAACACTCTATTTTGTATGTTTTTGTTACTTTTCATAAATAAATGATTACTTACTTACTTAACCCTAGTGGACCTACTCAACTTGGAATCTCAAAGCTAAGAACATTCTCGTGGATCTCCCGAGTTCCCCAATCAAACTTTAGGGCAAAATTAAGGGGTTAATAGTTTATGATCGGACATCCAAACATGTCAACAGAGATTTACAACTTTATATAAATATATTTGAGAGTTCCCAAAACATTCTGTTCATGAATGTACCAAACAAATTTTTGTTTTCAAAACGCTTATGGAAATTTTTAATATTTTGAAAAAAAAATGTTTTTGTTTCTTCAAGCTAAATCTAAAAGATGTATTTAGAGAAAGAATGAAAACCTGCAAAGGACTAGGGCTGAGTTTAAAACTTAAAACTCGTTGTTTCAATCTATTCGTTCTGTCATTTCGTCTAGAGAAATTCTAAAATTTATAAACTTTTGTTTATCAATTGAAGATATGAAATCGGCTTGCGACCATGAGAAAGGTTTTTTGTTTTGAAATTTAAAAAACCCTATTTCTAGGGTTGGACATTACAATTTTCCGCGTATAATAAAAAAAGTTCAAATAGATTTTTCGGAATTATTGTTGCTGTTGGATTTATAGTGTTCAGTTTATCTAACCTGTCTCCGTATTGAGAGTGGAGTCGGAACACTTTGTCCTCCTAGATGCGGATCAAGATCCACAGGACAAAATATCTACCAAAAGCATGTCTCTAAAATCCCAAATCTAAACGGTTGATAAAAGCGAGAGATTATCAAAACTTATCCCTAAATGGTTCAAATAAAAAACTAAAAAGGAGAAAAATCAATTGAAATATTTTTCTAAAAATCTATAAATCTTAAAGAAATGTTTATGACTTTGATCCATTTTTTAGGGCTGATCCAAGATCCGAATCCACATCAAAATTGAATGGATCTTCTGCACTGGTTAAAATGTAAAAATTATGTTACTCTAAAACATCTTTTAGACAATCTGTGTAATCTGTATATTAAGAGGCACATCGTGTATTCCTGGAAATATTAAGATTACCTTGGTTAATCACTGTTGCAAGGTTGTGTAATAAGGTTAGATACTCTGTTTATACGCTCAAATGTAGGTAAAGACGACATTGTAGCAATGAACACTCTAAATCCTCATATGACATCACTGCGCGCTTATTTTAAAGAATAAGAAATTTTGCGGCTCACTAAAAATAAACGAACTCGAAAATTGTTAGCGCAATCAATATTTGTTCAATATAAATAAACGTCATAAGAGGATTTATAGTGGCAATTGCAAAAAAGACGACATCTATGTATAAATTTGGCTTGTCTGTCTGTTTGTTTGCTTGTATCCAATAAACGTCAAAACGGCTGAACCGATCGGGCCCAAATTTTTTCTGGGACATCACGTGACCACAGGGAAGGTTTATGAATGATAAAAAAAATGTGTTTTAAAGGTTTTCAATTTTGTAAGAAATTTACATTCTTGAAAATCCGCGAATTTTTTTTAAATCCGCAAGATTTTTTTCTTTGTTTTAAAAGAACATGTTCACGATTTAAATAGAAGATGGGCGCGAAGCGCCCTAAAAGCCTAGTTTACCTTTATTTGAGATCATTCCGAATATTTATACCTATATGTATACAACCTTGCAACTGTTACCAAAGATAAAGCATGAGACGACTAAATTGCTCTGAACATTTAATTAGCTTTTTACAGGATTGCTTTTATTTGTAATCAAAGTTTGTTGCAATTAACTCAGTTTAAATAAAATCAAGTACTCTTCAAACTGTCATTTTTATACCTATTCCAAAAAAACTTAAGGATTACAGGGGGGCTTTGTGAAAACAGCTCTTAGCTATCTATAAGCTCAATTACTGCGCGCAGTAGTTTTACAAATATTTATTGTACACATATTTGGTTTTGTATTATAACTTTCTTTTCTTTAATTTCCTTCATCAGATTATAGCGTCCAGAGTCCGAGATTCAGAGATCCAGAGATCCAGAGATCCAGAGATCCAGAGATCCAGAGTCCGAGATCCAAAGATCATCCAGAGATCCAGAGATCCAGAGATCCACAGATCCAGAGATCCAGAGATCCACAGATCCAGAGATCCAGAGTCCGAGATCCATTGATCCAGAGATCCAGAGATCCCGACCAGAGATCCAGATTCCGAGATACAGAGATGAAGAGATCCAGAGTCTGAGATACAGAGATCCAGAGATTCAGATTCCGAGATCCAGAGATCCAGAGATCCAGAGATCCAGTGTTCGAGATAGAGAGATCAAGCGATCCAGAACAGAGATCCAGAGATCCAAAGCTCTAGGCAAATATTTAAAAATAGAAGACGACCCTAGCTAACTTCTTTTTCAAATGGGAATATTAAATAAAAATGCACAAGATTAGACTTCACAGACGACTCTAAGGATTTCATCAATATGTTTTCGTAAAATATAAATGGTTTCCTTTAGCTTTTACATATAATTGTTTCTTTTCCAAGTACTTAGATGACCGTTGACTGCAAATTTGTCACATACAGCTGACAAATTCTTAAACCATTGCATTATTTTGAGTCATTTTAGAAGTTTGTGGTCATCATTTAAGTCTCATATTCTTGGGGTAACCCTGTATTTTAACTACGTTTTGTAGCTGGTTATGCTAATATGAAATTTTTAAAATCTGAAATCTTCAATTAAAATATTTATTAAAAATGTGGCTAACCGCCTAATGTTGATTTATTGCAGATTTGTTCTAAAATTCAAGATACGCTCAAAGCTTTTTACCAAATATTGGAAGTCACTTTAAAAATGTTGCAAAGCTCCTAAGATGTAGATAACCCTATGTTATAAAAATTACATGTAAAAATAGAGGAGCTGTTAAGTTACAGCTTCTCTTTGCTTCCATGCTTTGTGTATCAATGCTGTTTGAAAGAAGTTAAGTACTTTCCCAAAGGCATTTTCCCAAGCGGCAACTTCCCAAGTGGCAACTTCCCTAATGTGAAATTTCCCAAGCGGCGACTTCCCAAGTCTGTCCTAGCCGCAACGCTTGGCCCCTAGCCTGTTATAGCCGCAGCGCACGGCCCCCTAGCCTATTCTAGCTGCTGTGCTCGGACCCCATTGCAGCCTACGCCGCCTCAGAGGTCCTAACCTAACCTTTGGGAAGTTGCCACTTTGGAAATGGCGAATTTGGGAAAGTGCCACTTGGGAAATTGTCACTTGGGAAGTAGCCATTGGGAAAACGCCTTTCGGAAAACATCTAACACTGTTTGAAAGCTTGGTAAAAGTTGAAAATTGAAATCGAAAGTCGTATTCATTGTATTACTATATACGATGACCACTGTATGCGACCTATCTAAGGTTTCAATCAGTTTTACGGCTTTTGTAGACTGTACACTTGCTGAACTAAATTTGAAGCGTGAGCACTGCACGTGAAGGTGTTTATTGATTTGTCGGAGGTGTAAAATTGTTTGGTTTGGCACCGGGGAAAATCTTGGTCGAAGACGACTTTGCAGCGAAGTAATATCATTTGTTTTGGTTAACAACACTGCATGACATTCAGGTGCATTTCGAAGCTCTGCTTTTAAACAGGGATACCCACAAAAGATGAGACCTCAGAGGCGATAGTACTGAATTTATTCTGTCTTTTTCTTAAGTCATGCAGTTCAGTGCAACTATAAACTTGTTTTATATTACCATCATTAAAAATACCTTTTTATAATTTTATTCCACACATTGAAGCAAATTCAATCTTTAAATTATCGTATTTATAAAGTTTTCTGTCGTCATTACAGTCTCATCCATTGTGGGTAACCCTATATTATATTTTCTTAAATTCAAGAAATTCTTGAATTTTTATATTTATGGTTTTCAGCAAACATTTTTACTAGTTTTTTTTCGGTTCATTTTCTTCACGAACATTAGGGTAAAGAAAAAAAAATGTTTTATATGATTTATTTTTAAAAACTTACAGTATACAGAGAATATAATATGTTAAGTAGAAATATGGACTTTAATGATAATAATAATAATGATAATAATAAAAATAATAATAATAAAAATTGCATGCCCTATTAGATACTTTACTCTTAATATGCCCATGTGACTTTGTTTTATATAAAACGTAACTAAATTAGATTATTGTTTGAAATTAACTAATTGTTCATTGAACAACCAGAACTTTCCCTTTCTTAGAGCTACTAGAATGATCGATCAACTGATTCATTGATCAACTGGTTGATTGATCAACTGGTTGATTGATCATCTGGTTGAGTGATAAACTGGTTGATTGATAAACTGGTTAATTGATCAACTGGTTGATTGATCAACTGGTTGATTGATCAACTGGTTTATTGATGAACTGATTGATTGATCAACTGGTTGATTGATCAACTGGTTGATTGATCAACTGGTTGATTGATCAACAGGTTGATTGATCAAATGGTTGATTGGTCAAATGGTTGATTGATCAACTGGTTGATTGATCAACTTGTTGATTGATCAACTGGTTGATTGATCAACTGGTTGATTGATCAACTGGTTGATTGATCAACTGATTGATTGATCAACTGATTTATTGATCAACTGATTTATTGGTCAACTGGTTGATTGATCAACTGGTTTATTGATCAACTGGTTGATTGATCAACTGGTTGATTCATCAACTGGTTGATTGATTAACTAGTTGATTGATCAACTAGTTTATTGATCAGCTGGTTGATTGGTCAACTGGTTGATTGGTCACCTGATTTATTGATCAACTAGAAGATTGATCAAATAGTTGATAAATCAAGTGGTTGATTAATGAGGTGGTTGAATGATCAGCTGGTTGAATGATCAGCTAGTTGATTGATCAGCTGGTTGAATGATCACCTGGTTAATTGATCAACTAGAAGACTGATCAAATAGCTGATTGATCAACTGGTTGATTAATCAGCTGGTTGATTAATGAACTGGTTGATTGATCAAATTATAAAACAGATTGGTTTAAAACTGTCCACTACTGAGAATGGTATCCTCCATCCAAGCCTGAAAAATAAATATATAAATAAATAAAACATATTAAATAAATATATAAATAAATAAATATTAAATACATCTTTTATTTCAATTGTTAACACTTTCTCTTTGTATATATTGCAAAAAAAATGTTTGCGGATTTTTTGCGAGGACATGAAAAGTCCCTGCACACAAAATTTGAGCCCGATTGGTTCAGCCGTTTTGACGTTTATTGTTTACAAACAAACAAACAAACAAGCAAGCAAAGAATATATAAAGATTAAAGGGAGCACTTTGTGAATAATGGTTAATATGGTGACTGGTGAGGTAAAGGATATATATCAGAATAATATGGTGACTGGTGAGGTAAAGGATATATATCAGAATAATATGGTGACTGGTGAGGTAAAGGATATATATCAGAATAATATGGTGACTGGTGAGGTAAAGGATATATATCAGAATAATATGGTGACTGCTGAGGTAAAGGATATATATCAGAATCCTTTTTTTAAATCGAAGGTTTTTCTCCTCTCTTTAAAGAGAAATTAAAATGTTTTCTATCCCCTTAAAAAAACTAAATCTATATCCTGTAAATTTAATTTCAAGTGAATGCAAAAATGGCAATGTCCGATTTACAACGGTATCCTTTAAACCTTTGACTGTCCATAGAGACGTGATCAAGCTGTGTGCTCGAATTGGCGTAAACCTCAACGTGTTCAATAAATACAGCTGACGTAACGATGTTACATACTAAATATTACTCGAAATTACTGAACATCGTAAATCTAAATCGGTTAAAAAATTGAATCTACGTGTTAATCTTGTACGACTTTTAGAAAAAATTGATACTTTTTAAATTATAAAACAGCTGATTAACAAAATAAACAACAATTCTATGTGCTTCTGTAGATTAAAAAGGATACCTCAGACACCCGTCATTAGTCAACGTTTTAAAGGGTACTATTCTGAATCGTACACACCACTCAACAAATGGAGGGTCATTTGAAATTACGTCTAAAGTCCCTTTACGGTGTTTTGATCAAATAATATCCTGAAAAAAAAACTCAGGTTTCTTGATTTTACATGCATTTAGAACTCGCATTTGTATTTAGCATTTGAGAAAATATTGCCCTTGATCTTACAGAATATATTTTATCAGTTAAAACAGTGGAGTCCCTTTAATTACCTTAAAGGACGGAACTCTTGTATAGACTCCAGGGACACCTTCCCTTCCACATCCGATACCAAAACTATTCATTTATTTATGTATTCATTTATTTATGTATTCATTTATTCATTTATTCATTTATTCATTTATGCATCCTTTCACCTATTCATTTATTCATTTATTCATTTATTCATTTACTCATTTATTCATTTATTTATTTATTCATTTATTCATTTATTCATTTATTCATTTATTCATTTATTTATTTATTTATT